GGGAATAGAATTGACAAAGTAAAAGGAATATCATTGATTGTACATCTGTAATATTTGATTATCACTAAGGCCTTTGATTACTTTTCTTTCACTAAAAGAAACAAACCAAAGCCAATGACTAAGAATCATTAGTGTAATAATGATTTCCCATGTCTGTCTAAACTACAAGGCTTAATCATGCTCTTAGGAAACAAACTCTTAGATGCTTGAGTTCCTAAACTTAACCTGGTTAATGTAACTTAGGTGTTTAAGACAAGAGTCCTGATCATTTTCAGTGTTAGTTGTCTAATGACATGACATTGAGCATCATTATGTTTGTCCGTGTTTTTGTTTTTTTTCCAGCAAAATGACTCAGACCTAATAACGGAGGAATTTAAGAAGAATTTCAAACAAGTCTTTGCTATTCAGAAAGCAAATCAGAACAGTTCACTGGTGTAGTGGATGCTGTTGATACCCTGGAAAATGCCACTTTCAGGCAGATTTCTCATCCCCCGCAGTTATGAGTGTTAGCTGCTGATGCCACCTCTTCGCAGTGTATTGCTTTGTGCCAAATGGAGGCAGAGTCACTTGAAGGTTACATCTCTTTGTGCTGGGAGTTCGTTCCCATCACCAAGTCTGAACTAACCATGTGAAGTGATTCATGTTCCTGTGCTCCCCAGAGACTACCTAGAACTAGTCTCCAGCTATGCCCATTTAAAATAGTCCTTGTTTAGCATTTCCCACCATGGTATCCTGCTTCCCTTATCCCTCTTCCTCATGAGAGAATTCTCACAATAAATCATTTAATGATTTTATCTCAGGCTTTGCTTTTAGGGAACCCAACATCACCTAATCATTTTAGCAAGCCAACCCCAAGCATGGAGTTCTGAGTTGGATCACTGTCTAGCCATATGGTAACAGGTAGAATATTGATAGGTCCTGGAGTACTAAAACAGTGCAGTTGCATAAACATTCACCTGTAGGGGAAGAGGTACTGATGCAATTGTCCAGCATTTAAAAAGAAAAAATAGTAACTATAAGAACTGTATGATTAGGTGGCTATTTCTTTTTAAAAAACTATTTTAAATTTGCTTTTATTGATTTCAGAGAGAGGAGGGGAGAGGGAAAGGGACAGAAAAATCAATTATAAGAAAGAATAATTGATCTTCTGCCTTCTGCACACCCTCTATTGGGGATCAAGCACTCAACCTTGGCATGTGCTGTGAACAGGAATCAAACCATGACCTTCTGGTTCATGGGTCGATGCTCAACCACTGAACGACACCGGCATGGCTATAAGGCTATTTCTAAGCTCCATTAAAGTATTTTAAAAAGTGCATGACAGGCTTATATATATTAATTACCACTTGCAACTGCAAAGTAAACAGTGGAAGGCTTGGTGCAGGCCCTAATTTTAAGAACGACAGAACTTCTGCCCACCCAGAATGTCTCAGTTGGTTAAGCATTGTCTTGTGTAGAGAAAGGTTTGCCAGTTTCATTCCCTGTCAGGGCACATACCTGGGTTATGGGTGTGATCCCAGATCAGGATGTATATGGGAGGCAACTGATCCATGTCTCTCTATCTCTGTCTCTATCTCTATCTCTTTCTCTGTCTAAGCATGTGCTCAGGTGAGGATTATATTTTTTAAAAGTGATAGAAATTCAGAGAAGACTGAATTCTAAGCTCATGGTGGCCTCTTGTGCCAAAGTCAAATCGCTGATAAAGAAAGCATGAAGACCTGAAACTCAGAGTGGGGCTTTCTAAGTAGATGCACCTGAGAACTCTGAACTCTAGATTCTTCTGAACACACTGTCCTGCAAAAGAGACCCCTGTACCTGTTTGTAGACAGAACTTTTCCCTATCCACCATTTTGTCTGAACGAAAATTATGCAGAGTTCTCTCAGCAAGACCAAACTAAGAATCTTCTAGATGAGCCTGCTAGCTGAAGAGATGGTTTACTCCAACAGAGCTTCAGGTCTGGCCAACATGTACTAAGAGGTGCCAGGAGATTGTGTGTGGGAATGGATCCTGGAAAAACAATGTTAGAATGTGAAACATGATGGGGGGATGCTGATACAGGCACACTCTCCTGGGCCACAGAGTTTAATTAGCCTGGCAAGGTCCAAGGGCAATGATTCTAATGTGCTCCTGGGTGGCTCTTAGTGGCTTTCTATAGCACAGTGCACACTAGATGAAGTGGAATAAGAAATATCAGACTTACCCTAGCCAGTTTTGCTTGGTGGACAGAGCGTTGGCCTATGGACTGAAGGGTTCTTGGTTCAATTCCAACCAAGGGCACATGCCCGGGTTCTGGGTTCCATTACCAGTAGGGGGCATGCAGGAGGCAGCCAATCAATGATTCTTTCTCATTATTGATGTTTCTATCTCTATCCTTCTCTCTTCCTGTCTGAAATCAATAAAAATATATTTTTTAAAAAGGAAGTCTGCCAGGCCAACAATTATAAAAGAGATCCAAACGCTTTAGAAAGATGTCATGACTTCACTCTGTACAACTGGAAATTCCATCCATGGGGTTACCGTGTCCTCAGTTGGCTCAAAGACAACACCTTAACAAGGCAATAAAGGATGTACTGTTGAGATGGTAGCTGCATCCTTGAAATGCTCAGTCCAGACTATCCTATGTAGGTTGGAGTAATGAAGGAATGATTTACAGAGCTGGATTCCCTAACAAATGAAATAATAGGACTCCAGAATAACTGAAGCTAAGAGGCAGCATTAACTGTCATAGCAGGATGAGTAATTTGTGTAATGAGCAACAAGTTTAGAAACACAACCAGTGACCCTGGCCCATAGATGTCTAAGAAATTAGCTACTAGAAGATGCTGTTCTTACAGGCAAGACACATGAGCAGTTAACAAGGATATTACTTTATATATGTCATCAAAAGAGATTATAAATAGTTGATCAGATGGTTGAAATATTACTTCAATGAAGAGTCAATATTCCTTGCACACCTTCCAGACCTTAGCCAATTCTTGACTCAGAAGCTGTTGATGGCAGTTCTTACAAGAAAGGACTGTGCAAATGTAATACCATAGTAATTCCATGAATTTTTCACCACAGGCACATAAGGCCATTTATTCAAGTAACATATATGCAAAACAAAGAAAACTCACAGAAATTTTAAGGGTTATTGATACAATATACGAGTTGATACCTTGGGACCCAAGACACCATAATGGCCCCTGTTAGAGTGTATGGAGGTAGGGTAATGTCTATCTAATGGTGAATCCACTCAATCTACAAATTCCCCAAGCTCTTAAGTGTATAATCAGGACACACAAACAGGTGTTTTTTTTGTTTTTTTACCATTCATTTCTTAATCTATAAAGTAAAAATGACTCTCCTAGGAGAGACCAAATGGAAGACTCTGAAACAGAACTTTTCCATGGTGAACACAGTAGGTTAAAAGCAGTATTGTATTTCTGAGGAAGGAGGGAATGACAGAGGTTGGTGCCACCTGCTATTGGTTGAAGTATGAAAGGGTTATAATCCCCTTTACATCTTGATATGATTCAGTAGTCTGGCTTAAGAAAAAGCTAGATGATTCCTGGCTACTAGATAACTACTAGAAACTTAAGCAAAGGTGGGGCTTATAGACCTGTAAAGTTTGGAAGAAGACGTTGCTGACTTATATGCACTCATACCAACACAAGGAAACAAGGATCACGAAGATTCAGGTGAACAGTACACTGAAAAAAGCAAAAATGACTGTACTCTAATAACTACCCCTAAAGAAATTAGATATATAAATTATCTGAAAAACATTTCAGAATAATCCTCTGAAAGAAGTTCAGTGAACTACAAGACACTATGTACAGACAAATCAATAAAATTGGGGGCGAGGGGTGGGGAGGAGAACAAAATGAGATGTTCACCAAAAACACAAGAAACTATAAAAGTGTCCTCGAGCTGAAGAATTCAATAACTGAACTGAAGAATTTAATAGAGAGCATTAACAGGAAATCCAGTCAAATAGAAGAAAAAAAAATCAGTGAACTAAAAGATAGGTTATTTAAAAGTATTTATTCAGAGAAGGAAAGAAGAGTGAAGAATGCCTACAGGATTTATAAGATATTATTAAGAAAATC